TGTGCATCATTTTGAAATATTAAAGTGGCGTGTGTATTATTTTAAAATATTAAAGTGGCGTGTGTATTATTTTAAAATATTAAAGTGGCGTGTGTATCATTTTAAAATATTAAAGTGGCGTGTGTATCATTTTAAAATATAAAAGTGGCGTGTGCGTCATTTTAAGATATTAAAGTGACTTATGTGTCATTTTGAAATATTAAAGTGACGTGTGTATCATTTTAAAATATTAAAGTGACGTGTGTGTCATTTTAAAATATTAAAGTGACGTGTGTATCATTTTAAAATATTAAAGTGACGTGTGTATCATTTGGAAATATTAAAGTGACGTGTGTATCATTTGGAAATATTAAAGTGACGTGTGTATCATTTCAGAATATTAAAGTGACGTGTGTATCATTTTAAAATATTAAAGTGACGTGTGTATCATTTTAAACTTTGTTGTCAGAAATGATACACAAAATACATCAAGTGTACAACAACAACTGGATGATTGTAATTTGAGACTTTGCATTTGTAATACAGAATGGAAATAATAGTTCCAAATATTTGTATAAATTAATTTTTGAAGAAAAAAATGATTCTCTATTTTTCTGAATCATACTTTGTTTTATTTTTAGAAAATATAATATAATATTTTTAGAAAATCGCATAGCGGCTTTTAGCAGCATCTATCTAAATTAATATGAATTTTTTTTTAAATTAAATATTTACGAACAAACTTAAACTTTTGGGTTGGGAATATCACTTTTAGAGTTCAAATAAAACATTTTACAAAACTTTTAAGATGATGCTGTACATCTTTGAGATAACATCTCCAGAAAATGTATTAGACAAAACATCAATATAAAGAAACTACAGACAGACAACTTAATTAAATAATGCACGATGATTCAACTTACTTGTTATTTTGAAAATTTATGTATTTTAGATTAACTCCGTAAGGGTAGAAAGCGTTTTTCTCTATTCTTGATATATTGTTGTTTCTCAGGTCAAGCTCGTGCAGGGTCTTGAGACGTTCTAGGGCCTCAACGGGTGTTGTTCTTAGTCGATTATGACCTAACTTGAGCCATGCCAAGGTATCTGTGTAAAGAAGGTATTAAACGTTTATAGCACTTGTTTTCTATATGCTTATTATTATTTTCGAAAAATAAAACATGATTATATATAAAAGTGGTCTGACTAGAACATTACTGTTTTCAGCGTGTGCATCATAACACTTTAATACGTACTAATACAGTGGTGTAGGAAGGATTTTCAAAGTGGGCTAGACATGCAGATTTTACAATGAGAGATTGAAAGTATAAGGGGTTGTTAAAAACAGCTGCCAAAGTCAGGACAGTCTAGGGGGTTCTGGGGGCATAAGTGAACTATGAAAAAAGTGGAGGTGCTACAGCCCCCCCCCCTGGCTCCGACGCCTCTGCTAAGATATACAAAAGTATCAAATGTTATCTGTTCACAGGGTGACATGACAAGACGTCCTGTTTTTTGAAATGTTGTCCCGATGGATCCTTTTGGGACGCTAAATTCACGGTTTTTACTGCTGTCAGTAATCTGTAACTTTTTTTTATTCTTGTATCCAGTACTTTGTGACGGACAACCGTATATCAACAGATACGATTTTTTTTAAACCAAGTTGGAAAATTATCACACAACTCCGAATAACTCAGCAGAGCCTTTGATGCTTCACTTGAAGCTGGATATAAGGCAAGCTGCAGCAGACGACATAATGCCACTACTGTACCCATCCAAACAAAGAGAGACAGTTGAACGCAAATGGCAGATGTTGTTCACAGCCGGCGTCTAATTTACAAACCGTAAAACACTTATTTGAAGTAATTCTAGGGTAAACAGGAACAACTGTTACTTAAAAAAAACAAAAAAACGAGTCACCATTTTATGATATGCAACTATGAGTGTCCCGGTTTTATGAGTCGAAGTTCTGATTACCCTATTTATCAAAATACATATTTGGTCGGCCGTTAGATGGCTTTAAACTCGCAAGCGGGAAAATGCAATTATATAAGCAACAACGATGTCCAGTATTTTGCAACTGTTATAGAATTAGTGTGTGTGACGTTTTATCCATTTACTTTATTTTACGATTTTAAATAAGAGTTTACTGGATAAAGGGTTTAAGATGCAGCATAATAAGAAGTAATTTTTAAGTATTAATTAAGAAATAATTATAATTAATGTTAATACACTGTAGCACCGTGATATATGTATATCTGTTTTCACCGCACGAAATCCTATCATGCAAGATTTGATTAGTCTTATCTAAAATAACATTTTAAACCGACCTAGTATCTTCAAGTAAACAAGTACAAATGGTTTAAATGGAATAAGATATTTAAAGATTTCTATTCCTTGTCTTTTTTTTTTATGCTTCTTGAAAGAAAAATCCCGATTAATTTTAACAATAAACGCAGAATTTTTTTTTGTTACTACACTGGGAATGATTTAACTTGAGTGTATTTTTTAGTTAATTCTTGAATACACAAAATGTTATTAATAACTGTGATTGAAAATATCGAATCATTAAAACGGTATTAATATATTTATTCAGACTAAAGTGGAATGCTTAAGAAATAAAATTAAAGCTTTAAATGCCGTGTTTTGCATTTAAAACATTTATTTTTTTCTAACTTTTTAACAAATACAGAAAATATTCGAAAATTTTATGCTAGAATGCTTTTCTTATCAAAAGATATGTTTCATAACCACTGAAATAGCGACCGTGGACTTAAATACAAAACAAGGATTACATCAGACCCGTTTTTCATGATAAGAAAATGGCATATAATAGTTATGAGTACATCTAATATACGTATATATTAGTATCACTTTATATATTTTAATCTAATATTGGTCTTACCCTACCCTCTATTCCTTGGAATGCCTCTGGATGGATATATTCAATCTGGTTCCTTTCAAGGTCCATCGAGCTCAGCGCTGAAAGATGTGCAAATGCCCTTTGGGGAAGTTCTTGTATGTGATTTCCAGCAAGATTAACAGTGTCTATGTTCTCACCCATATCCCTAAACTCATTAGGCGTGATAGTTGCGATCGTGTTTTCTGTCAGTATGAGTTTCTTAAGAGCAGGTACTTTTTTCAATGACTCGGTGGGTATAGAGTTCAACATGTTACCTCCGAGATTTAAATATATGATGTTGTGTCCAATACCAGAAAATGCCAGATTGTCGATATGCGCAATTCTGTTGCCAAACAGGGACAACCTTTCCAAGGACGTTAATCCTTGGAATGCTTTTGCGTGAATGGTGCTAATCTTGTTGTAATTCAGGTTTAGGAACACCAGTGAAGCGAGATTCTCAAGAGCGCTTGAGGGCACTCGCTGCAAAGTATTTTGGGACAGATCCAGCGTCTCCAGACTCTCGACAAGCGTAGAAAAAGCATCGTCGCTAATTCTTGTGGTGTCTCCATAATGGGAGTACAAGTGTCTTACATTTATTCCTTCTAGCAGGAACGAAGGGATGTCGGCAAGAGTGTTATTCTTTAGTTTCAGGTAGTAAACCGGCTGATTTGTGCGTTGGATGTTTTGTAAAGACTTGTGAAGTTGGGAAGTACGGGCTCCCTCACACGAAACGTCCAACCCTTGAGACTTCTCGACACAGATACAGCGTTCAATCAGTCGAACGTCTGGACATTTGTAGGGTCCTTCGTTAGCCCATGTTACAGTGAACACAAACGCAACGTAAACACTTAACAGTCTCAGGCTGCTACAGAGCATGCGTGTTTTATTCATCTTGTTTCTATAATTTCATCCACAAAAAGATAGTAAGAAAGGCAAATCTGAAAATAAAAAGAACAAATAAATATATGAGAGAGATTAATATTATTAGAATTGCTAGCATCAGCTCTAAAATAAACGATGTGAAAACAGTACGATTTCCGAGAACAAGTTTATCCATGGTTAAATTCAGTTTCAATTTTTTTTTAAAACGCCATTAAAAGTAAGATATTCTCAACTTCTGTAAAAATCATTATAACGAATTGAAGAATACATAACAGTGTGTATAGCAAGCCTCCCCTTTACCCTTTCTCTACTCGCGGTTTCATTTATATTTTACCCTGCAAATGTCAGTCATTTTGGGTTGTAAAGTTTTCCTTCAGCAGTTTTCAGGTTGTACTTGCAATGACAACAAGCACAGAGTCCGCGGGTGAGAGACTTTTCAGGTTGTACTTGCAATGACAACAAGCACAGAGTCCGCGGGTGAGAGATTTT